CTTTAGCATTGTTGGCTAAAAAGCCTGTGTAATTGAGCTGTTTTGAAATGAACCTTAACAGGAAACCAGACTCCTCCTCAAAGCTAGGACCAGCCCCAGCTTTAATCCCTGCCCGCATGCAGCCGCTTGACAAGCCACCACAGCTCCAGTTCCTGTGTTTACTAGAGCCTGACCCCGCAGGCCAGGCACAGGCCACCTCCCCGAGTGCTGTGTTAGCCTCTAATCCCAAACATTTATTGAGCTCTTACATTTCAGGATCTATGTACCTTCTTATTTAACCCTCACAATAACGTATCAAGGCACATACTATTTTATCCTCATTTTATGTCTGTTCTCAAGCATTTCTGGCTTGTGTAGACTAATGCCTATCACTTATGCATCTGTCCTTACTGGTTCCACCCAATAGTAGGAATGCAATGAACTGATACGCAGACAAGGATCAAAGTTTTCATTTTCTTTATGAAGGCCTCATCATACCAGCTACAGAATTCTTGAAAAGTACTGTATTAAATAAAGTAATCTGGGATTAAAGCAAAAACAAAAAAACAAAAACAAAAAAACCAAGGCTTCCTACTTCCTCCTGCCAAATCTGAATCTTCAACCAGCCACCCACGGGGAAGGGGGCGGGGGGGCGGGGCCTATTGGACCTGCAGGCAGACTCTCCACACACATCACCAGACAAGAGTGTGCGGGATTGGCTCCCGCCTCACATAGCCAGTCATCTGCAGAAGAGCTTGCTTCGGAAGCACAGGAGGGAAATGGCTTTGTGCCAGGTCTCTTTACTTGACAGAGCCCACTGTCTCCTTCTAACAATCTGACTAGTAGAGAAAGAAACATTTCTTGCTTTTAAACATAATTTTCTCAAGCATATTTTTCAAACATAGCTATCCCACTGGCATCATTCGAAAAGGTTTAAAAAACTGCAGTGACTTGGCCACACCCCAGACCAACTAAATCAGAATCTGTAGGGCAAACGTATTTTTTTAACATTCTCCAGGCAATTCCAATGTGTAGCCCAGGCTGAGAACTACAGCTTCACAGGTTTGATAACTCCATGCCCTCTTAACGCAGCCAGTCTGAACCAGCATTTTTCTGAGTGGCTACTTTAAGCTAACAAATTGACACAACCCTCGTTGCAACTCTCTGAGGCAGGTGTGATACACTGCTGGGGTGGGAGGAGTGGGCTGGGAGGGGCTAAGTGACAGACCTGGGACTGCAAACCTAGTATTTTGTCTCCAGAGCTGAATACCTAACCACCACACACTGTGTCGCCTTTTGTGGGTGCTATGACCCCAGTCACCTCTCCAATCAGGTAACTCATCACTTCTTTTGTAGAGAGGAACAAGTGAGATTTGGAGGAACTGGAACCAATTTATTCCGATACTCCCTCACTAAAGAGAATGTGGAATTTAAGGAAGAATAAGATTCTACTAGAGATTTTGGAAAATGTGTGGCAAGGAATAATAAATCCAGTCAGAGGTGATTAAAATTGTTAAGCAGCTAAAGTTAGAGCATGATCTATTTCCCTGCATCACTTTTAGTTTTGAACAGCCATCTTTGATACCTTGAGGCTGAAAATAAGAAAACCAGGAGGCCAAGGCTAAGGACTGTGAAGAAAGGTGCCAAGAGAGACATATGGGAATAAAAGAATCAAAGCCCCTAGTGAACATACCAATGACAATACAAGCTGAGTGAAGAAAACCAAGACAAGTCTAAAACTGGGAGGGAGTGAATGGCTCCGCAGGAAAGGTAAGGTCACGTTCACATTCTGAGACACTGAGTCAGATGGTGAAAGATGAGCCCCAACCGGTACAGCTCAGTTGGTTGGACCTCATCCAGCAAAGTGAAAGGTTGCAGGTTGGATTCGGGTCCGGGCACATTCCTCTGTGGCAGGTTCAGTCCCCAGTTGGGGTGTGTGTGAGAGGCAGCTTATGGAAGTCTCTCTCCCTCCCTTCCTCTCTCAAAAACTAAGCAAAATTTTAAATAAAAGGGAAGAAATGTGATGCATTACCCCAAAACTCAGATATTTTAAAAGGTGGAAACAAAGAGAATTATCTTTCTCTTATTTCATATTTTTATCAACTGCAAATATAAATAGGTAGATAGAATCTTTATACAGGTTTGCTGAAAGCATGTCAATGTTAATGTCGAATAATGTATTAATTTTGCCAACAAAAATTTTAGCACTGAAGATTTAAATAACTCACAGTAACTTCTATATAGGAAGCAATTATTCTAATTTATTCTATTTGCAATTTAGAATTTTCACATAATGAATTTGCAGGCCATTGGCATGTCATTTGATCCCAGGGAAAAATGTATCTCATTACATTGTGTTGAACACCTGATGTGCAATAGACAAAAGATCTCCTATCTACAGATGTTCTTCCTTGTTTTAATTTTCTTTTCAAGGTATGAATCATTATTTCCTAATGAGCACAGGTCTGAAAGGACAAATGACTCCACCCATCTGTGCCAGGCAAAGCTGCATCCAGCTCATGAAATAATTTGCATCTTCAGAATTGCACCCATTACCTGCTCCTTTAGCTGCAGAAAACTTTAGCAACTGTTGCTGTTGGTAAATCAGGTTAATTCAACAGATTGTTTCATTTCATTAAATGAAAGCCAATATGAGGGTTAAATTTTAAAATGCCCTCACATTATGTACCTTATAGTCAACTGAAGATGACTGAATCTATATAGTAAGTTTTAATTGCTAGTCTACAATTTAATATCATCTTTGAATTAGCAGAGCAATCAAACTCTAAATTGATTTATTGTATGGTCTTCTCATTCTCACTTGTGTGACTAAATCTGTTCACCTTTAAGTGATTATAAAGTCTGTCCTCCCCCCAGCACACACACACACACACACACGCAGAGCAGGCGGAACTTTAACACATTGCTATTAAATTCGTGGGACTCTGGTGTACTGGGACACAGACAGTAGGCACAGTTAACTGAATAAAGAAATTCTTCCAGAATTATTGTTGCCTTTTTTATGGTATGTTAACTTTTACTGTTTTTATGGCTACTTTTAAGAAACTTGGAAATGAGTATTTTGCAGAAAAGGAGATAGCAGATATTCATATCATTTACTCATGAGGTTGGGAACCATAAAATTGAGATTTTTAAAACAGGCTTCTTACATTGCCATAAAGCTCATGTTCTGAAAAATCTGAAAATTCATTTTTTACTTTGGGAGTTACTTTCAAAGATTAGATGAAAAGGGATTAATAGGACTTTACTTGCCACTCATTTTATGTATTAGTTTAATTTAAAAAAGGTCGGACATCAGTAATTCATATGATTCTACCTCTTTAGAATTATGAGACAGCTGAAAAACTGTATTTATCACATCAAATAAAACATAGCCCTATTTATTCCAAAGAAAAATGTCTACACAGGAGAGGATGATCTCAGCTACACTGCAATGTGCTTAAAATACCAACTACAACACATACTTAGCGCCAGGACTTAAGGTGCCAGCTTTCCGTAAGAAAGGATGCTACTGTGAGGCTATACCACAAAGGTCCAATTCTGACTGCGCCCCCACAGGCTGCGGTGACAGCCACAGGCAGCTCTGGAGTGATAAGAGGCAGGGACCACTGTTTAAAATAATTCCCAATACAAAAATGCCCTGTTCAGTAATTTTAAAATCCCATTCCCAAAAGTGTTTTGGATTTGTTCGCTTAGCTTTTCTGTCTACTTTCCACAGAAGGTACTGAAGGGCAACAAAACTTCAAGAGTTAGGGAGAAAACTGAGTAGCCAGCCATTTCATAGGCAATAATCAGCTGCAGAGCGATACTAGCTTTGTTGGAAGTCAAAAGCTCACTTGATTATTTCTTTAATATAGAACACAAATATCCACAGCCATGAAGTGAATTTATGAGAAAATAGCCACATTAAGTATGAGACCACAAAACTACTTTGAAAACATAATTTAAAACTCTAAAACATAAGTGATAAAGAGTCTCTTATTTTCTAATGGGGGCAAGGTTACCACATTTCCAGGAAGATAAAATAGAGACCCCGACACTAGACATAAAGACAGGCCTAGAAAGCGACAGTGCATTTCCCCAGAGAACCACAGAGATGCTCATTCAGATTCTTGCACTTTTTTATGCTAAGGTATTGAAACTTAAATCAACTGAGTCTCTTCTCATTTTTTTATTGTATTTTTTATAAAAGACAGATTTAGTGTATTGTAACAAATTACTAAATTACATTTTAAAAAATCTGTCAAGTACTACAGTAATGAAATAAATAAATAAATTTTTTAAAAGCTCAATGTTTATAGACATTTTATCAAAAAAATGACTGAATTAAAAGACATTAAATAATGTTGATACACACCAGGAAGGGATTTAGGCAAGGAAAGGCACATCATTTCACCACAAGAAATAAAGACCACAGTTAGAAGCTAACGACCAGCCTGGCTGTAGTAGTCTTCCTAACTCCAGAGGGTCTTTGTGGTGGACCGTTCTTTATGGTACTCAGCTGAAATAAAGATAGCAGTGGGAGAATTTTACTGGGTGACCCCCATGTAGTATTAAACAGAAAGCACTCTTTGAATAAGCCTGGTGTGTTAAGGGGAAAGGAACAAAAGTCCAAAATGGTTTGGTGGTACTGAAAATCCTATTGACTTACTAAGGGGAGTTTAAGAAATGAAATAAAATAAGGTTAATCTTGTTGTCTGGCTGAACTGTAATTCCTGTGGTTACAAAGCTAGAATTTCGAGTAAATACTGTTTTCACTTCCTTTCTTGTAGACAGATATGGTATAGATAGACAGCTGCCATATTCCATTTCAGTGACACTGTATGACAATATTTAGGGAAAAAGATTCTAGGTAATTTCCCTATTTTATGTACCTTAAGTCTTTGAAAACAGCACTAATACTTCTGGCTGGCTGGCTGGCTTTCTATAACAGCAAAATGAACACAAGTTTTGAAAATGATGAGGTTTCCCAATAAAAGTAAAATTTCCAGGTGAGTGAATACAATTAATCACTTTACTGAAAAGTCTAACAGACACCAGCAGAACGTGCTCCAGGTCAACTCCCCACCACTGGTTTTCTGTAACCAACTTGTGCCAAGTGCCCACCCGCCTCCTTCTGTCTGGACTCAGACCCTAGATCAGTTTGTTTGAAATATGGAATCACTCCAAATAGTGCATATAAATTTTAGTGCTTTTAAAAATTGTGTGAATAAATAAAGTGGATTTTCAAGATAAAATATCAGCAAAAAAATGTTAAATTAAAAACAGTTGGGAGGGGGTGACAAGGGAAAGTATTACTCTTAAAAAAGAATTAAAATGGCAATTGTAAAGCAGCTGGCCTCCCCCTCACGCCACACGATATGCCTTCATTAAGGTGTACTCTTTCCGGTTGGTGTGAGCTGCCCAGATGAACAGGGCAGAAGCCATGAACTGTAAGGGAGCTGAGACACAGGCCAGGCAGAAGGACCATCCAAATTCCCCGGACACATTCTCAGGCAGCTTCAGTTTCTGGTGGAGGAGTTCGATTCCAGCAACATAACAACTCACTGAGCCCAGTGTGCACAGACCTTGGAGGAAAATTTAGAAAACAAAACACGGTTAGATAAGAGGACCATAAGTATTCTTCAGGCAATGTGACAGGGCAAAAATATACAAATGTGTAAGAATTACAATTCTTTGGTCTCTAGGGAGACAGAAGGAGGATAAAATGTTTAGTATGATGACAAGACCCACCTGCAAGAAGATGGAGAATGCCCGTGGCAATGGTGGGGTACAAGCTTCGGCAGATACAAGCACAGAGTCCAATCAAGGCCCCAAAGCACATCAAACCTAGACTCACAAAAGGTAACAGGAACTGGCAACGCCAAAGATCTGATTTTTAAAAAGAGAGAATAAAACTGTTACCATGATTCCAGACACTTTTTCCACAATGGCAATTTCTTTCATATTCTAATTAGATCTTTTCTCAAAACTAAGAAAGGAATATTGAGGATTCTTTCTAAAGCATACTGCTCAAAAGAATGGAAAGCACACTGGGTCCTGATAGAAGCAAAAGGACACTAAGAGTCAGCAGTTCCTCATCTCAGCAGGACAGGGCAGTACACACAGTATCTGAAGCACACGCTCTGGCTCTACATACACACAAATCTAAGTCCTTACAGGACCCATGGCAGGAATAACGAGTCAATGAGTGCTAATGATAAAAAACCTGTTGAAAGGTACATAAAGTACCAAAGTACAGGTGCTGGTATATACTTGGCACTCAATTAATGGCAGTATTAATTATCATAAATTCCTTTAACCACATGGGAAGAAAGTCAATGACTTTACAAAGCATCACATTCCATTTTTAAATTATTTTAATTATTAGCAATGTGTTAACTCCAAACCAAATCTACCCTTTAATGCCAGTTTTACTTCTAGAACCACATAAAAGTCTTTTCTCTTTCCTTCAAATTGTTAGTGTAAGTAAACTTCTTCCTATGTATTTGCAACACAAAATTGAATACCTGCCATTAAATCACTGTTTCATCTCATAACATGATCATTCTTGTCATGAATGATCATGTCATGATCACTCATGACAGTACTGGAAAGCTCCAATACATCTCTGTCGATTGGAAACTAGGTCCAAATCTGAAGACAGTACATCCTGGGTAGCCTGACCCTCAAGGAATACAATGTTCCTAAAAATATTTTCATTTATTTTTGACAACTACACCTTTGTTACTACCACTTAAGCCTGGATTAACATTTGTGGCAGGACTTTCATGCAACTGAGCCATACAGAGCTTGCAGTCAACTGTTTTCACATATTCCTATTTGCACTCAGGTAACTGAAGTGTTTAACTCAAATATGGGAATTTATTCCTTACCCCTGTTAAACTTCTTCTTTACATGGGCTCACTAGTAACACCTTGTGAAGGGTCTGAATTTTGTCATCCAATGTGTTACTGTGCCTCTTTTAATTTCTTATTTGCAATTTGGTGTGTATCTAACTTCTCGAATATGTTATCAACACATCGACACTGTTAGAGATCATATTTCAAGTTTACACAATGTACTAACTCATCTTGTTTCAAAAATCAGAGTTAAAAGAGCTAAATTATTTCCTATCCCCCCCCCCCCAATTGTCCTGCTGATAACAAAGTACTCACAGGTCCGAAGAAGATCGATCCCGGCATTTTGATCTCCAGGAACAACAAATTTCTCCATGAACTGCTCACTTAGTGTGAAACTCATGCATCTTGTAATCAAATCAAATGACTCTGGAACAGGAATAACAAGGTTTGTTTCTTGTTTTAATTATAAGCATTTAACAAAAATCTCTTTTGGGTAATTAAATAAAAAGTGATACAGAAAGACATTCCCAGTGGAGACAGCAACCTCTTTAGTCCTGATATATAAAATCAATGCCCAATAGGTGCTAGTGATTCTCAGTGGCAGGCTTGAGACATGGGCACAAGAAAGGGGGTGGGGAGAGTAGGAGCAGTAAAATGAATGAGAATAGATGTGTAAGACTAGAAAAGAGGAGGAGGGGATAAAAACTGATATAAATAGGAACTCTGATCTTCTTAACCTACTCCACCAGCCATCTTCCCCATATCAGGTAATGGCAATTCCACCTTCCAGTTCCTCAGCCTTCAGTCATTCTTGCCCACATGCAAGAAATCCCACATCAGGAAATCCTAGAGCAGGGGTGTCAAACTCATTTCTACCAGGGGCCACATCAGCCTTGCAGCTGCCTTCAAAGAGCCGAATGTAATTTTAGGACTGTGTAAATGTAACTACTCCTTAACAGTTAAGCGAGAGCTCAGCGCTGCAGGTGGGTAGAAACAAGGTGCCAGGCTGGATAAAACAAGGTGGAGGGCCGGATTCAGCCCGCAGGCCTTGTGTTTGCCACTTACGTTCTAGAGGCTCTACCTTCAAAATATATCTAGAACCTGGCCACTGCTCAGTACTACCACCATGGTCTCAGTCACATTCATTTCTCACCTGAATTTGTGCAAAAGCTTCCTAACTAGTCTCCTGGCTTCCACTAATGCCTGACACCTGTATTCAACATAGCAGCCTAGATGACCAGATCAGCTCCCCTCTGCTTAACCCCACGCCCCATAATGGATCTATCACATTCACAGTAAAAACTCAAGTCCTCATCATGCCTACAGGACGCTGCACGAGTTGCCTAACTTCCACTCCCAGGGCACACATCTCAGACAGAATCCCCGCTCTCCCTCCACGTCAGCCCAGTGGTTTCCTGCTGGACCCTGACTATTTAGGCGTGCTCCCAACACAAGGCCTTTGCAGGAAGCGGTTCTTCCAACCTATGAGATTCCCTCTGCCTCCAATTACCTATTGGGCCAACACCTTCACGTATACCAAGTCTTTACTCCAGTGGTAACTTCCTGTCGGAGGCTATTTTGCCTGCCGAATATCCTAACTTATGCCCACCAACATCATATGTATTTCCTATTTTGGTATATTTTTTTCATAACACATGTCATCTTCTAATATACTATATAATTATGTACTGTTATACTGTTATGTTTATTGCCTGTTACCCTTTATTGGAATGTAAGTAGCTATCCCAGAAGAATTTTTATTTTGACTTTCTCTAATGTGTTCCAAGCTACTAGGCCCTAGAACCTGACATACAATAAATATTTGATAAATGAAGGATAAATGATTGCTAAGACTCAAATATTAAGCACTCCTATGTTCTCATAGACCAAAACATCCTACAATAAATTTTAACCAACTTTCCACTCTTCCACACTATTTTCTTTTTCCCATTTGAATTACAACTACCATTCTTTTGATGTATGGCAACTCAAGCCTGTGAGCTGTGAGAAGTAGTCACAAATAATAACAAAATGTAAGGTTGTTCCTTACAAAGAGCTCTAAAGTTTCAGTTTTAATAACTGGAAATTAAAATTTTTAAATGTTGAGAATGCTTGCAAAATAAATCTGAGAGATAATTTCTACTAAAACACAGTTAACACATAAAAGGACTATCAATTCATATTTATTGACTTGATTTTGAATACTAATCCTTTCTACCAGTTACCAGGTATTTAAAATCTTCCAATATAATTTTCCAATTATTTCCTAATGACATGTGACATTAATAAAAAGGCTTTTAACAAACAGGTAAATAAGTACAAAGATTTTAAATGTCTTCCCATGATAAGGAGGACAGTTACTCATCCAGCCAATATTTATGAGTACAACGGTAAGCCACAGAAGGTAGAGGGGACAGAAGGAGCTATGGAAAGAAGAGACGTGTAAGATTTATTTCTCTGATGGGAGAAAGAACTCACAAACCTGCTTAAACATAATTAGGCCAACATCATAACACTTTGTCTGTTGTTGAATAGGTAAAGGAGACAGAAAGAGAAATACCTGTCCTTTCTTGGTTATTCCACTCTACACTTTGGGGTACAGTGATACACCGTCTCCACAATCCCACTGTGCCATTATATCGAAAAAGTACATCATTATAAGTCTTTTCATCTGCCTCATCACTAGCGAAGCTGACCCAGATGCTTTTGTTCAAATCGCTGGAATTTTCTTGAACCGGACTTCGATATTCATACCAGAAGTCTGTGCCAATTGAGGCTGCCATGTAGATGGTGGAGATGAGGCTAAGCACACAAGCTATTACAAATGCTGTAGCAAAACGGTTATCCATTCTGGCATTCAGACTGCTCTGTATAAAAATTGAAGAAAAGTTAGACTCAATCAAGGACAAAGATTACTTTGAAAGAAATTAGTCACCTGTTAGTCCCCATTCTTTGGCTATTTAATGTCTAATCATTAGGTTTTTTTAAATAGTATACTTTTAATTAAGTTCAAAACAAAAGTCATTATCATGTAAGTACTTATTGAAGGTTCACATACCCAGGATGCTACGGAGACAGAGGTCTTGTGCTCTAGTCTATCACCTGCACACTAAAACAGACAACACTGAAAAGGACATACACATTACAGATACAAACAACAGACAAGCCCAGAGTCAGCAATGTACCATGTGTAAATTTTTAATTGCAGACAGAATTTTCATACAAGCTGCAGAGCATTTAGAGTTCTGGGTCTGAGTGTGAAAAAGGCATAGGAAAAGGAAGCAGAGGAAATTCACTCCTCCCAGTTTACTCTGAAGAGGGAAACCCTAAAACAAGGTTTAGAGTCTGGAAGACTGAGTTCAAGGTATTTGTGAACTCAAAGAGTTGTTGCTGGTGCACAGAATAGCAAGGAGAACACAATAACACATAATGCTAGATACCAATCCGCCCCTAATCCAGTAACGCTAAACCAAGCTCCTTTACACTGCCAAATTCTCTCCTCCTACCAACTCTCCCCATCCCTTATAATGTTGAACCTCCTCAATTGCAAACTAAATGCTGTCGCCTGAACCTTAAAGAAAACTTTGAATTAAAATATGAACACTCCCAAGGCGTGGACACGGGCTCAATGGCAGTAGTAAAAGGCCGCAATAAAATGACTCAAGGCGTATCCAGCTGAGTCAAATACTGCAAATATATACCATGACCGCACCAAACACCTTACAAAGCAGCAAGAAAACAGGCTTGCAAACTGGGGTTACAGAGTTTGGAAGATGGGGAGTGATTCAAGAGAGCTCAGGGCAATTGCAATTATTAACGACAGCTCTCTAAGTTGGATTTGGGTTTTTATTCTTTTTAACCCTCTTTCAGCCTGGGGCTCTCAAATGACCTTAACAGGTCCCGGCCTGGGGAGCGGCGGTTCTCCCCAGTCGGACATCTGGCACTGTCACCTCTCGGGGCGCACCAAGGGGCAGAGGGAGGCTGACGCTGGTCGAAGCTGGGGAGGAGAAGCCTGGCGCTGCCTCTGATCTGGGGCCCCCGGGACCCGACCAGGCCCCTCCCCAGACCTCCGGGCCGAGGGACCACCCCACCGTCACGTTGCCACTGCGGCCAGCCCACCACAACCCCGCACGGGCAGGAGACCCTTCCCTAAACCGCTGGAAATCTCCAACGGCTACGTGACCCCCGCCCAGCGTTGCCGACCCGTCTCACTCACCGCCCATCCTCCTACTCCGCCAGCTTCACCCTCAAGCTCTGACCACAGCGCCCTACTCTCCCTGCACCTCCTCTGACGCACTTCCCTGCAGATCCCGCCCCCTCCATAACTCCCGCGCCTCCGCCTCCACCCCAGGTCGGGCAGAGACCTGGGGCCGAGAGGGCTTGTGGGAGTTGTAGGAGCCACAGAGGGGAAGCTGAAGGAGCAGGCGGAAGGCATTCCTGGAGCCACGCGCAGTGCCTTGTGGGAGATGTAGTTAGGCTCCCGAGGTAAAGCCAGCACGCTTAACGGAGGCAAGTCTCACATTTTAGAGCGGAAGGGACTGTGGGCTACAGATTAGGGTGAATGAATTTTCTCCAGTCACCGCTGGTCACTGATTGTGATCTATGTAACTCAAGTTTTACAGCTTGAAAGAGGAAGACTCTACCTCAATTCAAAGACAAGGAAACTGAGGAGCTCAGAGTGAATAACTGACTTATCAAACTTTACTCTTGGGGAGAGCTGATTTGTGATGTTAGACAATTTACTTCTTTAAGTTTCAGTTTTGTTTTATACAAAATATGAATGTTGATAATAGCCTCTATTCCAAGGGGTCACTATGAGGATTAAATGAGAAAAAAAGTACATATTAAATGTCCAGCACAGGGCCTGAGGTATAGTAAACAATTATTAAATTGTTAGTATTTGAAAATATTTGTTGACTATCTAAAATATTTAAATAGGGTCAGCTATTAAAAGCTCCTGATTCCCCTGGAGGGTGGAAATAAGGCGTTTATAGAGGTAGGTGTCTCTGCTCACTTCAGGTTTTATGAACCTGTGGACTAACCTGCAAAATGACAAGAAAAGACTTGCCTGGACCAGAGATCAGGCATCCTTGTTTAACTCTGCTCAGGCATGCATAAGTCTTCATGATTTCGGATGCCTCTTTCTTGGGAGACCTGCAAAGAAGAGTGTTGCTTTCATCCATCAAGCCTAGAAAGCACGCAAGACACATTTCACTCACCAAATAGTATGGACTGAGAAGTGTCCACACGTTTGAGGCTGTGACCATCTTATCTACTCAGCACAGAGAACTTGCACTGGCTCATCACACGCAGTATCACCAAGCACACAATTATGTGTCTGATTTATCTGTGCATCTTGGATGTTTTCTATTTTCTCTTTGTACTTGGTTGTTGTATGGGTAGGCAATAGAAATTCTTAATGTTTAAAATAATGGAGTTACAATTAAGAAAAAGCAGAAAGCCTGAATAGACCAATAACAGCAAATGAAATTAAAGCAGTAATCAAAAAAATCTCCCAAAGCACAAAAGCCCTGGACCAGATGGTTTCACAGGAGAATTCTACAAAGCATTTAAGGAAAAGTTAACCCCTATTCTTCACAGACTATTCCAAAAAATCCAAAATGATGGAAGACTCCCAAACTCTTTTTATGAAGCCAGCATCATCCTAATCCCAAAACCAGATAAAGACACAACAAAGACAGAAAAGTTCAGGCCAATATCGCTGATGAACATAGACGCCAAAATCCTCAACAAAATATTGGCAAACCAGATCCAACAATACATTAAAAAGATCATACACCATGACCAAGTGGGATTCATCCCAGGGATGCAAGGATGGTTCAATATTCGCAAATCAGTAAATATAATACATTGTATAAACAAAAGCAAAGACAAAAATCACATGATCATATTAATAGATGCGGGAAAGCTGTTGATAAGTTACAACACCCATTTATGATAATAACACTCAACAAAGTGGGAATAGAGGGAGCATTCCTCAATATAATAAAGGCCATATATGAGAGACTACAGCCAACATCATACTCCATGGGCAAAAACTAAAATCTTTTCCACTAAGATCAGGAACAAGACAAGGTTGTCCACTTTCCCCACTTCTATTCAATATAGTATTAGAAGTTTTAGCCACAGTGATCAGACAAGAAAAGGAAATAAAAGGCATCCAAATTGGAAAGGAAGAAACAAAACTGTCACTGTTTGCAGATGACACGATAGTGTACATGGAAAATCCTATAGACTCTACCCAAAAACTGCTCAACCTAATAAATGAATTTGGCAAAACAGCCAGTTACAAAGTCAATATCCAGAAGTCAAAGGCATTTTTGTATACCAGTAATGAAACAGCAGAAGCAGAAATCAAGAAAACAATCCCATTTGATATAGCAAAAAGAAACATAAAATACCTAGGAATAAACCTAACCAAGGAGATAAAAGAACTGTATGCAAAAAACTACACAACACTGAAGAAAGAAATCAAGGAAGACACAAACAAATGAAAACATATACCATGTTCATGGATAGGAAGAATTAACATCATCAAAATGTCCATACTACCCAAAGCAATTTACAGATTCAATGCAATACCTATTAAAGTACCAATGACATACTTCACAGACATAGAACAAACACTTCAAAAATTTATGTGGAACCATAAATGACCCTGAATAGCAGCTGCAATTTTGAGAAAGAAGAACAAAGTAGGAGGGATCACAATACCTGATACCAAACTGTATTACAAGGGCACTGTAATCAAAACTGCCTGGTACTGGCATAAAAACAGGCACATAGGCCAATGGAACAGAACAGAGAGCCCAGAAATAAACCCAAGTCTCTACGGTCAATTAAGGATGGGGAGAGAGAGACCCAAGTCAAGAGGATCCCTCCCCTGCTTTGGTTCTTGTCTTGCTCAAAAGACACAAATTCAAGTGAGACAAATAAGTATGGTGGAAATGAGATAGCAAGTTTATTTATGAAACACATGAGCACAAAGCTGCAAGCAAGCACCCACCTGGTTTAAATGCCCAATGTATAGAGAAAATAAAGTTGTTAGTAAGTTATTGAGTTTGTTCTGTATGCTTGGGCCAAGGCTACAAGTGGGTACTTAGTTAATCTAAGTACACTGACTATTAGGGTTCAGGGGTTATAGACCTTAGTCAGCTTTTAGCTTCCCCCCTTTTCTCCCCCTTCTAAATCTTGGGAATAAGCTACAGCTACAAAGGCTCCTCAGTTAGCAAAGGCTCTTTTTCCTAGTGAAATTGTTAGAGACTTCCTTCCCCAGCACAGACTCTCAAGGACTACCCTCCCTTCCTCCTTACTACATTCCTGCTTGCGATGTTCAGAACCTCTGGCAATGTTATCAAGTCAAGCTCAGCACTGATCAGTTAACTGGTGATATTTGTCTTCCTTTTGCTTCCAGCCTCCTATAGTAAGTTCTCTATTAGATTGTAATGGCAAAGGCTCTGCCTTTATTCCCCCTTTAACCAGTCATTCCTAGCTGTTACTTAATTGTCCCATGGCCACATGTGGAGGTTAAAATTTGAGAGTGATCTCTTGGCTTCGGAGGTCTCCCCTGAGGAGCGAGGGCTCCCAGCCCCACACCAGTACCCCAAGCCCAGGGTTCCAGTGCCAGGAAAGGAAGTCGCCGTAACTTCTGGCTGTAAAAACCAGTAGGTACAGTGGCTGAGTGAGACCAAGTGCTTCTGGAGTCCCAGGCAGTTCCTCTTAAAAGGGAATGCATACTGATTTACTGGATGAGGGACTCACTTGCTCTGAACTCCAGGACTGGGGCAACTGCTGGAAAAGCACAAGGACATATGGGGAGAAACGGAATCGTCTGGCTTTGTGCTGGAGGCTGGAGAGGCAGCTTTCTCCCAGACAGAAATACAAGAAGGTACCATTTGCCCCTGGTTGAGGCCTGCCCCTCCCCAGCTTGCAGATTCAGGCAGGTGCCATATCTGAGTCTCCATCGGCCTGGCTAACAACATTCCCCCACCCTAGTAATTCCCTGAGGCCCCATGCCACCCAACTTTTGGCTCACCCAAGCCATTTCCAATAGCTTTTCCATACAAATGGCCTGTCTTAGCTCATGCTGTGGACTTTCCTAAAAGATATTTTGTGCAAATGGAAACAAACAAAAAAAAACTGAGGTAGCAGTACTTATATCAAACAAGATAAACTTTAAAACAAAGTCTATAACAAGACAGAGAAGGACCCAGCACTTCCGGCTATTTATCTGAAGAAACTCAAAACATCAATTTGAAAGATACATGCATCCCTATGTTCTTTGTAGCATTATCTACAATAGCCAACATATGAAAGCAACCTAAGTATCCATCAATGGATATGAATGGATAAAAAGGAACTTGTATGGGTATACAATGGAATATTATTCAGCTATAAAAGAGAACGACACCACCCTAAGCAGTGTGGCTCAGATGGTTGGGTGTCATCCCACAAAGCAAAAGGTCACTGGTTTGATTCCAGGTCACTGATTTGAACACACCAAGGCTGCAGGTTCAGTCCCTGGTCGGGGTATGTACAAGAGACAATCAATTGATGTATCTCTCCTGCTTTTTCTCTTTCCCATCCCCTTTCTCTAAAAATAAATAAAAATTTTTTTTAAAGATTTTATTTATTTATCTTTAGAGGGGAAAGAAGAGAAGGGAGAGAACGAAGAGGTTTTTTAATTCTCTTGAAAAGACTGAAATCTTACCATTTGCAACAATATGAGTATACACCTAGAGGATAGTATGCTAAGCGAAATGTCAGGCAGAGAAAACCAAGTACCATATAATTTCACTTATATGTGGAATCCAAAACAAACAAACAAACAAAAAACCAGAAACAAACTAATTGATAGAACAAACCGGTAGCTGATTGGAAGCACTTTAGGGAGTTGGATGAAAATGGTGAAGGAATTAAGAAGCACAAATTACGGAGCATTTAAGATCTTGCTCCCCAGGATATGTCATCAATTTGGCTGAAATAAACTCATAAATTTTTTTAAAGAAGTGCAAATTGCCAGTTATAAAATTAGTCATGGGGACATAAAGTACATCATAGGGAATATAGTCAATAATATTATAATAACTATGTATTATGTCAGATGGTACGTACTGTGGTAATCACTCTGTAATGTATAGAAATGTTTAATCATTATATTGTATACCTGATGCCAATATAATATGTATGTCAACTGCAATTGAAAAATCTAAAAAGTCTGATAAATAAAAGGCTCTTTCCTTTTAATTATTCCCATCAAATGCTACACAGAGTAACAAACTGTAATTGTTTAGCTGTCCATGCTTCTGAAGGAAGTGAATGGACCATATGAATATGAGAAGTTTACATTTAAATTGCCCCTTTGGTAAGTGACCTCTTCTGGGCCCCAGTGTTACTGGATGATCACTAATATCACCTGAAGCTCTAAAACTTTAGGTTCATAATACTGCTGGAAGAAGAATAATGTAACTGTAAAATATAGTTGTCATATAGATCCACAACACTAAAGTTTCCTGGGGAATTCATGCATCCTTCAGTCTGGGCAATGTATGAGAAGACAGAGATAATGGGGAATGCAGATGGCCAGAGGAAAAGGAGGAGTGCACTCTGATTTGAAAAGATACAGCAACACAAACTTCTGCTGTTTCAATAATAAACAGTAATCATGGGAGATGAAAACTGTCCAAGAAGTGTGCAAAAAGTCCCAATCATTGGAAATGACTCAAAATTCAGGCATAATTCAGTCCAGATCTACAAACACTTAATGACTATCTATTGAATGCCAGACACTGTACTGGGTACCAGGAACACCAATACAAATAAACACAATTTTTGTTACGGACACCCTAAGTCCAGATCAGATCAGCCATTATGAAGAAGTCTAAAATATGTGGGCTTCTAGAATAGTAACATCACGGCTCTTTCTGTAAATATGGTGTAACAAGGGAAATAACCCACTAAATAAAAATAAGGAGGACCCTGAAAACAGCAAACACTTAATTTAGTATGATATATTACATTAAATTGCACTAAACTCTCCAAGTAACTGTTAGAATTTAAAATATTAACTTTTAGAGTATAAAGAGATCTCTTAAACTAGACTATTTAAATGGTTATACATTTTATAACACTCAAGGAAGAAACAAAAAAAGAGTGCCTTTCTAATAAATAAATATATCATCACTCTGATAAGATTAATGAAAAAATTGCTTCACAATATTTGCCATTTATTCTAGGACTCATCAGGTAAGCATATATGAACAGAGACTTCTTTCTGCTATGCTGTATGCGATACTCTGATGAGTCCCTACTTAACACGGGGGCCACAGTGGTTGACAGAGAAGAAGCAGAAGTAATCTATCATAATGCCAGTTGGGGTGGCTGTAGTCACACAAAACCTCAGCTCACCTCTGATGCAGAGGCTGTAAGCCACAGCTATGGCCACATGATAGAGGAGAATAGATTCACTTTAGCAGATGTCTCTGGGGACAGAACCCTACTCTCTCCCTGTCTTCAACATCTGACCCAATTCTGAACATATCTCAGGAATTTGGACACAGAATAGGGAGAGCCCAGAAGTCTAAATTAATTTCTAAAATTTTGCGAGATCCAGAATAGAAAGCTTCCAAGACGTTCAAATTTAGAGGAAATTTTTAAACTTTTTAAAAAGACAGGCAAAACAATGACAATGAATAACATACAAAGTTGACTAGGAAATTAGAAACATGATTCTAAACTTTAGTGTGTGTAAGAATCACCTTGGATGTTTGTTGAATATAAAGTCCTAGACTCTACTAATGATTCTGATTCAGTACATCTGGGGCTGGGTTCTGAGAGCTACAGTTGAGTAGGCAGCCCAGGTGACTCTAATGTGGGTAATGTGGTTTGGCACCCACAGGTTCAAAACAATGGCCTTCAAAATCCATAGAAGACTTTACTTGGGTGGCTCTCATAAGCCAGAGGCCAGTGGAAAGATAATGATGGGCTCTCCATTCAAGTTGCTCGTAATCAGCTCAGGAGGTCAGACATGAAAACAACTAATCATGTTAAATGAGGTATAAGCAGTGTCGTATAAGGTCTTTATAAGTGCTGCATAAGGTCTTAGAAAACACAAAGGTGGAAACAATTGACTGCCAGGGTTTGGGGCGGGGTGGGGGGGAAGTGAAGCGATTTTTGGAGAGGAAGACCATTCTTGAGATGGCGTGTATGCTGTAATTCCATTACAAATATTTACATCTTACTCTTTAAAAAAGATTTTAAAAAATCACACTGTTCATACTGCTTTTTTACATGCTTATGTACCCAGTGTTGTTTTTGAGTTTTTGTGTATATGTAGTTGGTTATTTTATTGTTATTTCAAAGAGCATTTGAAGGCTGAAAAATGACCATTGTTCCCAAGTTTATTTAGAATGATGACCTTCTGTAGTTTATCTATTCAGCTTTTATTATGGATTCTAATAATAGCTTTATATTCTTTGAGTAAAGCCCAGTACAATGCTATTCTCTCTCCCCCCCCCGTTTTCCCCCCTCAAATCACTTAATTTGTTTTCTAACTTGAGTCCCAAAATACTGTTGATTCATGTAGGATATTCTCACATCGCAGAATTCTACCACTAATTGCTATATTCCAAATGACTATATATCATAAAACATCATTTTGTCTACAGATGCTTTAAAGTTTACTGAGAAATTAAACTGTTTAAGATAGTTTACATCAGTAGCTCAGCAATTGGAATGCTGAAAGAAAGTTTAAGACCTTTAGAATAAATGTGCAGCCAGATATTTTCCTCTAGAGTAGGAACACCAACTCTTTTTTCATTTTATAATTTTATGTGGAATTCTTGAGACATATCTTAAAAAATGTTTTTAAATATCTTAGTCCCAGAACCAAAGTTGTCTTCTCAAATGGCAAAAGAAGTTTTTTTGCAGAATGCAAAATTCTAACTGTACACTTCTAACAGTACATATGATTGCTACTTGAATACGCTCCCACACACAAGCCTATATATAGTGGTTGAATATTCTGTGTACCCCACTGGTCCTTTACAAGTTCATATTGTCCTATTTCTAACTATTTGGCAAAAATAAATTATTCCATTAAATATTTAAGGCTTACCCACTGGGAGAGACTTTCATCCCAGAAATGTCAAAGCATTAATTAGTTCCTCTCATCTGCAGCCTATACTTAGTGAAAGGTATACCTCTCCTCCACCCCCCTGTGAGCACTGAGCACTCAAGCACTCGGAGACACAGCGGAAGGCAGACTTAGTCCCGAAAATCAACTTCCAGATGCCTTACCAGGGGTGCCCCAGAGCTGGGGAGCCCTCTGCTTTCCCTGAGCTGACTGACATCTAAGACTGAGGTGACATGAGAGCACATTAGGAAGAAGAGAGAAGGAGGAAATACAGCAGGCAGGATCATTCTTTCAACATATTAATGACAGAAGAGATAAAAATTCAGTAGAAATAACTTCAAATGTTTAACAATCGTATTTTCATCTACAGGCATACACTCTTCTATGCATTCGTAATATCAGCCTAAAGCTGTACTTTTTGATGGCGATGAAATGAGATGGAGGAAAAGAAAGGAGAGCCGAGTGTGAGAGAAGCTTGAGCCACTTCAGACAGTAAAGAATTGAAATAAATGAAACCAGTTTCAAAATCCATTATATTTTACTGTCTTTCTAATATAAGAAAGAATAGATAAGAAAATAATGTGATGGGATCTTTTTAATGTCAGTCTATTTCTCAAGTGTTTTGAGTGTACCAAAAAATTCTTCCTTTTGTGTTGCCTATACTGGCAACTTCATTATAATGTCACTTAATATAGATTTTTTTGTTGCCAGGTCAGTGATTCCCAAAGTGAAGTTCGCTGTTTTTGTGGACGTACTTAAGAAAAAGTCATAGCTCCAATGCTAAACAATTACTGCTACAAAGGAGAGGTATAAAGAAGAGAGGAGACCTGATGGATAAGTATTTCAGGGTTAGTAAAGAGAAACTCTCTTAATCAAGGATGTTAATTCTAACAAAGAGAATGACATTGGTTGAATTACAGTAGCAGAGAAGACAGTAAAAATTCTAATTTCTTTTTTAAACCTGTATTTATAAGCTATATAAGTAACAACAATGCCTGCAGTGAAACCTCAATGAATTCACCCTTGCCAATAGTATCGAATCACAAAAACGAGACTTTTCCTAAGCAACTCAAATAAACTAACATTTCCAAAGCACCTACTATGTTTAAGGTACTGTGTTAATCATAGAGGAAATTATTACAGATCATAATAAAAGCACAAGACATGGTCTCAGCCTTTTGAGGATTAAAAAAAAGTTATTGAATGAGACAAGATTGATTACATACAAACTAAGAGTCAAATAAGTGGAAAAATCTGATACTCTAACTGGAATCATTATGTTTGCCATAGATGTGCACTCACATTATTTAGGAGATTTTCAATTCACTCTTCATGCAATGAAAGACTATTTTCTTTACATTTTACCAATGAGGTAAATAACAAGAGCATCTTCACCACCTCCATCCTAAACTTCTAAGTAAAACAGCATCCCATATGTGGAACTCAAGGCTAGAAAAGGATTCTCAGTGTCAGAAGAGCAAAAGATGTCTTTAAAGTAGGTAAAGAAAAAAAGTTAATTCATTTTATAATTTCTAGTCTTAAAGAAACAAGTCGAATATCTTGAAGAAAGAAGTAGAAAAGCAGTTCAGTTTCCTGGGTTAATGCAAAGTTAAAAAACCACAACCACAACCACCCAACACCAATCAGGGTGATGTTTCTAGTGAGTCCTTCCTGAGCATTGGTAGAAACTGTTTCTTTAAATCTCTGTTTTTATGCTTATTCCAACATCTTCTAAAGGAGTGGGTCGAGGAAAGAGGCAGCACTATATAAGAGAAGCTGCCTTGAGATTTCTAAAATTCATACAAAAACTTCCTTGGTAAGGAAACTTACCATAGTTTGCAACCTGATCTTCAGTGATGGACCCAGAAACAACCTCAATTTATTTGGATTATTTCTACACTACAAGCCAAAGTCCCGATGATATTGAGGACACCCAGTCCCATGTTACTTACACATCTGTTTTCCTGCCTGTCTTTTACACAACCGTGTTCCTGGCTGGAGTGCTGGGGAACCTCGTCCTCATGAGTGCACTGTATTTCAAACGGGGCAGCCGAAGACTGATGGACATCTTCATCCTGAACCTGGCCGCCTCTGACTTCATTTTTCTTGTCACGTTGCCTCTCTGGGTGGATAAAGAAGCATCTTCAGGACTGTGGAGAACAGGCTCTTTCCTGTGCAAAGGCAGCTCCTACGTGATCTCAGTCAACATGCACTGCAGTGTCTTCCTGCTCACCTGCATGAGTGTTGACCGCTACCTGGCCATTGTGCGCCCAACCGTATCCAGGAGATTCAGAAGGAAAGACTGTGCCTATGTAGTCTGTGCCAGTGTCTGGTTTATCTCCTGCCTCCTGGGGTTGCCTACGGTTCTGTCCAGAGAGCTCACCCTGATTAAGGATAAGCCATACTGTGCAGAGAAGAAGGCCACGTCAGCTAAATTGACTTGGGCTCTGGTGTCCTTAATTTTTACCTTCTTTGCCCCTTTGGTGAGCATTGTGACCTGCTACTGTTGCATCACAAGGAAGCTGTGTGTCCATTACCAGCAGCCAGGAAAGCATAACAAAAAGCTGAGGAAATCCATAAAGATCATATTTATTGTTGTGTCAGCCTTTGTCTTCTCCTGGCTGCCCTTTAATACTTTCAAGCTTCTGGCCATTGTCTCGGGGTTTCAGCAAGAATTCTACTCTTCCTCGTCTTTTTCCCAAGTGGGCATGGAGGTGAGTGGGGCCTTGGCATTTGCCAACAGCTGTGTCAACCCTTTTATTTACTATATCTTTGACAGCTACATCCGCCGGGCCATTGTGCACTGCTTGTGCCCTGGCCTGAAGAACTATGACTTTGGGAGCAGCACTGAGACATCAGATAGTCACCTCGCAAAGGCTCTGTCCAACCTGGTTCATGCAGAGGATTTTGCCAGAAGAAGAAAGAGGTCTGTGTCACTCTAAAAGGGTCTGTGACTTTTCGAGCTCTGTTGGTGGATGGGAGAGTTCATTTGCGTCAGCGACAAAGAAAGACAAAAAAACTATTTGCTGAAGAGTGTTCATACTGCATCATAAATGCAAGGTAGAGTTAATTAAAGAGAAAACTGAAAAGTTCTTGTATTTGTGGATATAATTAGGCCACATGCTGGGTTTTGTTTTGTTTTTAGCTGAATGCCCTTATTTGACCCTTGCCAGTCAAGTTCACTGGGCAGAATACGACTCCTATATGTCCTTGAACTCAGAGATAAAGGCTCCTGCTTGGACTAGTGCCTGTTTTCACGGTTCTTAATGCACATTCAGGCCTTTTCCTCTCCCAAGAACCACGGAACCTTGGTCCACACCACCCTGCATACTGGGCTCCAGAGTGGATTACATTTAAAGGATTCTGCCCACTTTCATCTGGTGAGAAATGTGATGATAATGTAGGAGGCAAAAAATATAACATACCTGTGCTCTGTAATGAACAAGGTATGAAGTGACTCCAAGGTAATGAAGTGAGTCTCTGGCCTTATTGTCTAAAAACTTATGTAGTGATTCTTTACCATCTTTCAACATTGTCTTTCAACCCATAACATTAAAAAATTGCTTTAGACTGGCAAAAAGCTCATGAGGTACATCATTTTGTATTGTGTTTATGATTTGACTTTCATTATCATCTGGTCTTCCAGAGTGTTTTAACAAAAAAGTATAAGGCAAGGTTTGACCTTTATATTTATTACAAGATGTATTGGTAAAAAATGTATCTCATTATGATGCTGTAGTAACTACTTTTCAATGGGGTTTTGCTATGCTCTTATGCTTTTGTTGTCTTTATAAATTAGGATATGACTGCTTTAATTACATGTTTTTAATTACCCAGTTATCAAGTTATCAAATAAAAATGTTAGTTACTAGTAATATAATTGGAGGTCAGCAAATGCTTAGCTACACCCTTGTGCAGATTATGATTTTGTATTTTAATTAAAATGTTGGTGCTGCACATTCCTTATAGTGTCGTTTGCTCATATATATAATTTTAAGATTTGATCCTGTGATATGGGAAGGTAGGATGCTCTGTATCCAGCTGAGGTAAAAAAGATTTTAAAAATCCATAACAAAATGATGTTCGTATTTCATATACATTTTTCCGGACCCAGAGACTATCCTGAATTCTTTCGCATTAATATCCCATTAAATATCCCATTAAATATTTTTAGTCTATTTGTACCTGATATTTCTTTCAATGACTTTGGAGTAAAAACTTAATTAGGACTAACTACAAAAGGCTTTGCAGCAGTAAACATACTATCATAAACATCTTTTGATTGAAGAGAAAGTGCGTTGTTTTTATACTCACTGTTGACTCGAATGAATTACTGTTTTACTTCTGTTAAGTTTAAAAATTAGAGAAAGATTATATTTTTCTTAGAGATGAAGTAATTCAAGTTTATTCTATGTATGTATCTTCTGCATTAAGAAAAATCTCAGCCATCGGGTATCTTATTTATCTTATAATCCATTTAGAAGTTGAAAATATAATTTTTGATTTAAGAATTAGTTAACTTGTTAGTTTCCATTAAACTTTTATTAAATGAAAATATAATGTCCCTATTTAAGTATTCTATGTTGTATTGTATTACTTTTTACTTAATACATTAATATTAATTGATTAACATTAATAATTATTAATATTAGTGTATTCTAAGTCTTAATTATATACCATAGATATAAAAAAATTGACCATGTAAATCATAAGGAATGAAGTTTCCTGGAATACTTCAAAACAAATATATCTCCAAAGGTTAGATGCAAACAAAATGCAAAAGGTAGAATGCATTCAATTTTTTAAAAACAAATCAGCAAAAACACTATTAATAATCACAAAAATCACTGTCTTTGAGAAATGCTACCCTTAATAAAATAGTTCAATCACCCAGCTAAGGTATTTTTTAGAAAAGAGAAAACATGAATTATTAGGTTTAACTTCATCCTTAATGTTGGAACAGTGGGCAAGTCATTTTAGTCCTCCATACTTAAATGTAGTTGCTACCATCTATGTCTATAGAATTCTCAAGAATATTATAAGACTAGCCCTGGCCAGCATGGCTTAGTTGGCTGAGCATTGTCCCACAGAGCAAAGGGCTATGATTTGGTGCCTGACATGACTGCATTGCAGGTCCGGTCCTCAGCTGGGACGCATGAGAGAGTTGATGTTTCTCTCTCACATTGATGTTTCTTTCGCTCTCTTTCTCCCTAACTTCCCCTCTCTATAAATAGATAAATAAAACATTTTTTAAAAGAATAAGATGAATAAATATAATATCTTTTAAAATATTGAGTAACAAATTATATAAGGCTGTTGGGTTTCTGTTATTAATTATTGAATGTTGCTTAAAATTTTTCATACTAAAATATCAAACAACAGTCACTCTCATTTAATAAATATTAAGAATCTAACTTCTGTTTCATCCCCTTTTAGTTTTTGCTGGAAATATTTAAAATAACATCAAAAATATAGTGTACTTTTTAATACTTTAAGTATATATCCTAGTTTTATGCCTTTAAAAAATCTGGGTGTATGGACAAAGCCAACACAGCCAAGGGGCATGGATTTGAGGTGGGAGGTGGAGAAGGGTGGGGTGCGGGATGTGGTGGGGTGCAAATGGAGACAACTGCACTCGAACGACAATAAGACAATCTTGGTGTATTTTTATATTCATAATGTACCAAAGAGATGGAAGGAAAAGTAGACAAAATTTTATAAGTGGTAAAACTCTCATAGAAAAAGTTCAAAACTCATTTAAGTTGGTTTGTTATGTTATATATGGATTCCTCTGGTATAGAATGTAATTTACATTATAATAGCATTAAAAATTTTATTGTAAATTATTTGGTTAGGTCTCATTTTGCACATTTTAAAACCATAACATTTCTACATTTTTAATATGAACAAATTTTATTTAAATACATATGCAGATAAAAATATATGCAGAAACAGACACATTAATATATTAACAAATTTTCAAGATTTTTATCTCAAACTGCTCTGAGGGCTGCCTTTTGGTTAAGTCATTATAGAACAAATAAACACACATTGCCACAAATTCTAGAAAACGACCTGACACCTTAACACAATCATGCCTTGTTAGTTACACCCAAAGTTAGAAAAAGAAAATAAAATGTAGTAAGAGTCAGTCTATAAGGAAATCCTTGCCAATTAATGTTAGTTGTCATTTGTTTGAGCAGTCTAAAGCTATTGCTAAAATGTTACTGACAAATATAACACAATAGTAATCTCCCAAGCAGTTCTCAAGCAATTTTTTTAACTTACCACAGAAAAGCTCTCCATTAAAGCCTGAGATGTTGCTTGATAACTTATAACTAATTTAAAAATAGACCCAAAGTGCACATAGTCACAAACACACATATACTCCATTTGGGCCAAAGTGAACTAGCAAAACTAACCTGGCAGTGCTGGGAGTACCCTAATCTGTCCACACTAACAAGTCAGATCACCACTGAGTAAGAATGACACTAGGTGAGAAAAACAGTCTGAACAGGAAGCTATGTGCGTGACTGAGAGTAGAGTATTACTAGGGGTCACAAGATAATTTTTAAGTAGAGGAAGAAATGCACAGTGTGATGGTAAGCTGAGTGAAAGAAATCTCCCTCTATGATTCATCTTGACTCCTCAAATCATTCTCTATTCCTTCCCCCCAGTAATCTCAGAGGTAAGAAATGACTCGTCAGATGTGTGTGTCACAGAGCAGTAAGCCTCAGTTTTCCCGCAGAGCTCATTCACAAAAGTCAAACAATGTTAGAAGAGTTACATATGTGTTTCTGCACCAGCCACAGGTGTAGCCTGCTAATGAGATGATGCCTCCAGCCTGATGAGAGAGAGAAGTAGCATCCAGCGAAAAAGCAGGAGAGTAACTGTAAGAGTGTGTGTAAATGGTTACTTGGCTTTGCCTTCCCCCAGAAGCTGATGTGGATTGGATTGTCCTTTACAAAAGCTTGTTTTTATTTTAAGTTCTTTTCTTTGCATCAACCTAATTTTTGTCAGTTCTGTGAGTAAACAATTGTGACTAGATTTTACCAATACATGTACAAGCAAAAAGAACAGTGCCAGTGACCTGATTTCACAATGCAGATGTAAAAATCCATCCTAGGGTGAATTACTATGGTCTCTTGCTTTCTTTGTCATTTCCTTAATAGAGCAATATTTCCTAAATGTATTTGATAAATGGGAATTGTATCCTAAGAGTAACATAAAGCATTAAAAACAAAACCCAACAACCTACTTTAAAAAACCAATGCATCAAAGTATTACTAAAATGAAGGTTCTTATGACAAGTTAAATTATAATGAAATATAAACTGACATGAAATGTCCATTATTTATTAATCGAAAAGGAGGAGGGGAATAACTAAAAGTAGAGGGAAGTGTTCTATTAGTTGGCAGACATTATTAAACTAAAAAACTCTTGGTATATAAGCCCTTATTATATAAAATGTTAAAGGGACTTATCTAAGAAAAAGAAGATGAAAAATATGGGCAGTAAAATGACAACAAATGTATAACTATCAATAATCAAACCTAAAAAGAAGACAAAAACAAACTAACCAAACAACTAGAACAGGAACAGAATAATAGAAATGGAGATCACATGGAGGGTTATCAGCAGGGAGAGGGTAGAGTCTGGGAAAAGGTACAGGGAATAAGTAGCACAATTGGTAGGTACAAAATAGACAGTGGAAGGTTAAGAATAGTGTAGGAAATGTAGAAGCCAAAGAACTTATATGTACTACCCATGGAATGGGATAACTATAATAGTATAATCAATAAAATATACATTTTTTAATTCTCGGTTTATATATTATGAGTAACAAATTTCTAAGATACAAAGACACTATAAATTACATTGAAACTTCTTTGAGTTGGCCACATGTGCTTATGTTGAGTTGTGTTTAACTGATGCACACAGTCCATTTAAAGGATTTATGAGCCCTGCCCAGGTGGCTCAGTTGGTTGGAGTATCTTCCGTACACCAAAAAGTAGCAGGTTCATTTTCCGGGGTGTGTGTGGGAGGTAGCCAATTCATGTTGCTCTCTCAGTTTGATGTTCCTTCTCTCTCTCCGAGATCAATAAACATAGAATTGGGTGAGGATTGAAAATAAGAGGATTTATGATACAATGTTCATATTATTTTTATAGTGCTTTATAGATCAAAGACAGGATATCATCAATCATATTATTCAGTGAGTTTCCTATTTGCTAGTTAAGTAGGTTTAATCATCTAGTTCCCTATCACTCCCATGTTAATGAGAGTTAGGCTTCATCTATGAGCACTTAATGTTTGTCAGTGCTGATAGGAAGTATTAACATTTTTATCTGCTCACTCTTATCAATTCTGATGAGAAAGTAATATGTAATTTCCATATTACTATTTGTTCAAAATGAAATGTAAAAGGTTCTCCTTGTTAGAATACTTTATGATCTATATTTTACAAAAGCGCTGTCCCATTAGTTCTTACATATAAGGGCAAAAGATATAGCTACTCTTGTGATGTTCTTAGATCATATAAGATTTTATGCATCAAAACTTACACGTGACTAAAGACTATTTTTAATTTTTTAAAAAATGTCCATGGCAGAGTCTTTAGTAAGCAATTCTGTTCTTTTCCTTATAGAGTGTAGATAGTATTTAAGTATTTAAATATATTAACTATTTAAGTACAGTATTTAAGTACTGTCTATTGCAAAACTTTGACAAATCCCTAAATTTGCAAACACCATTATAGCATGTATTTTACTCTAGGCAAATTTAGAGCTCCTTCATGGTGTGTGGAAAATAAAGCAGAATCGAGATGTCAGTCTGGAGTGTTGGGCCTGACTAACTAGTTAAGTCACTCATCCCCCATTGCATCATATGTCAATAGTTTAATTTTATGCCTTTTATGCCATAGATTGTAAAGTTCCTTAAAAATAGTCAGTACTGCAAACTGTAAAGGCAAAGTGTCTACTATATACAATGCACTATGACAACCGCAAATTTATTATTATAAATGACGAATTCCATGATGCTAAGTGAAATAAGTCAGTCAGAGGAAGACAAATACTATATGATTTCACTCATATGTGGAATCTAACAAACAAACCGAACTGACAAGGAAAATGTGGACAGACTCATAGATGGAGAGCTGATGACAGCTAGCAGGGGGAGATTGTGGGTCAAGGGATTGAGCAAAAAGGAGAAAGGATTCATGGATGTGAACCACAGCGTGGTGAGTGCCCAACAGTGTTGGGAAGGGGATATAAGGGGACTGAAAGGTAAAGTAAAAAAATGCAATGAAGA